CAGGAGGCACCTTAAGTTTGGTATAAAGTATTCGGCGGGGGGTGAGACTGAAAGCTGATAGGTCAGCAAGCATGGGATTTTTTTTTCCACCTTTAAATGAATGGCTTAGTGTTGTTCCAGTGTTACTTCTACTTTAAAAATGAGGAAATGTTTAAGTAAGGTGCATAGCTAATGGTTGCAATGTTTATTTCCTTTTTTTTTTTTTTCCTGTAAACACGTGATAGCACTTCGGGATTAAAAAACACGGCATCGGCAGAGTCGAAACTGAGCAAACTTTGGGACATCGCAGGTTCTGAATGCTGATAGGCCACTCTGATGATCTGATGAGACGGATTTAAGATTTAAGACAGAAAAATGAAAATAAAGGAGCATGCAGAGAGACGAAGGAAACGAAATAGAGCCGCTACATTATGTGTTGTCCAGTGACGACGAGGTTTGCATATGAAATCCGTTAAACACGTTGAAGCTTTGGTCTTTTTTTTTTTTTTTTTACTATTGAGGGATGAATTAAAATGTTAAAAAATAAAAACCAGACAGATCAGTCATAAATTCAACAATGCTTCTCAATGCTAAAAAACCAAGGCTCCACTCTCCCAGCTCTGCTGAACCATTTGCGTCAACAGAGGAAAATTAAATAATATGGCCTTTTTTTTTTTCTTCTTCTTCTTTTAAATTAACCCGTACAAAAAGCCAGTCCACACCGCTTCTCTCTCTCTCTATCTCTTTCTCTCAGTAAAATCACATTCAGCAGTCGCTTTAAAAAAACAAAACAAAAAACAACAACCAATCTCTGGCATAGTTTATCTGAATAAAACACCCACAGGTAACTGTGCAGGGTCTGAAAGAGTCCGAAGAGGAACTGAACAGGACATCGTCGTCCGTTTCCATCTCAGAGAGAACACCAGATATACAGTATTACACACTCACACTTCATGTACAAACATACATCATCTTCAAAACCAAAGTAAAAAGGTAGAAAAATAAAAACATGACAAAGGCGAGTAGTTATTTACCACAAACTCGGAGCTAGTTTTTTTTTGTGTTTTTTTTTTACTCTGTCGATTCTGAACAAATATGCATTCACATTTCTGTTATTTACATTAACATGAGACAAACATTACAAAACCTGGTACCTGCGCGCTGTAGTGAGGAAGGAGGGACTGCTTTTTGCACTGAAAGGCTTTTGCATAAAGAAACATTTTTGCCTTTTTTCAGCTTTTCGGGTGTATTTGGCATTTTTTGTTGTTGATGTCTTTGCTGCAGGGTGAAATTCTCCATCTATAATCCGGGTTTGTAGAGGAGGCCTTTCGCATGCAGGAAAGATGTAAAGAGGAAGAGGAGCTATGCTGTGTGTGTGTAGAAATATCTCAGCAATAAAAAAATAAATAAATCTCCAACTAACTGATCTGCTGCACAATTCAGGAGCTACAAATAGGTTTAGGAACTGCAAAAAGTGATGTTTTAAAGATGGCCCATTTGTTGCATGTTAATTGATTTTAGTTGCAAACAGCTTTGGGATGATTTGGCCTCATCTGCAAGTTTAATCCACGCCTGAGGACGCCAGCCTTTTGCATCATTTCATCAGAGATGTGTTTTTAAATAACGGCTTACATAAATGAATATGTTTTTATGCTGGTTTATTTGCATGGTGGTGCGCTTTGTGTAGCTTCTGGCTTTTCTTTCAGGACAAACTGAGAGGTTTTCATAAACTGCTAAATAAAAAAAATACAGAATATGCTTGATTATTCATGGAGTCAATTTATCTCAAACGTGGGTCTATTTTTCGGTTATTTTCTTTTTTTTTTTTTTGGTTTTTTTTTTCTTTAACTTTTCCCAGTTCCGGGGAACTTGGTTTCCTTTTTGCTTTTACCCCTTCCCTTTGGGGAGCAGTGGGCTGCCATTTTGCGGCGCCTGGGGAGCAGTGTGGGGTTTAGGGTCTTTCCTTCTGATCTTGCAGTTTCTGAAGAGATATTTCTTATCTATGCAGCAGACTTCCTGATGGGAGAAAAAAAACATATTTTTTAAAAGTATTTTGTAAACAGAAGATTTTATTTGTACCTGTGTACAGAGAATCCAGAGATTCTTAGAGGTTGTGTTTTGCATTGCCAAGTTTTTGTTTTTATAGAAGTTAACAGGAGGAATGAGGTAAAAAAGAACAAGTCAAAGAAAAACAGTGCCCCCTGCTGTTCAGGAGCATAAACCTAGATCTGCTTAAACCAACAAGATATTTTGGATTTTTATGTTACCAAAATCATTATCACCCCTACTGGTGAAACGGTGTTACTACGGCATTTCTGTGCGATATAGCAGCTGATTAAGATGCTGATTTTCATAAAAAAAAAAAAAATTTAATTAGATGAATCGGCCTTGTTTTAAAACCATGCAGTACCATGGTAACTCTAAAGCGCCTCATTCTGGCCTACTGGAGTTATTACACGTTTCTGTTGTTTTGCATATATTTTTTTCTTTGAGCGGATGAAAAATATTTAAAATCTATCCAGAAGCTGTAGAACATAGTGACCAAAAGAGAACCTGACTCACTGAGCTCACATCCACAGCAGAGCTGAGCACAAAGTGGTTCCTACATCACACAGCATCGCTGGAGGAGTTAGCAGGTGAAATGCCCACTTGACCTGTGAACGCTCTGTGACTTATTCGTGTTTTATAAGGGGGGAAATAATAAATCACCAAATTAGTATCAGACATGAGATGGAACTGGATTAAAAGTTCAAATTTTACTGAGCGGATAAAAAAAGAAAGGTGAATTTCTGAATGTGGGGTCTGCATTGAATGTGAAACCTCTCACCGCCAATCCATCAGCACAGAAAGGCAGAGAAATAAATAATAATGCATGAAAACTGTTCATTTTCCACAGGATCTCTGGATGCTTCCTGATTAAATTCAATCCTGATAGAAAGTGAAACCTTTGGGTTTGGTTCTGTCGTCTGTTTTAAGATATTTACTCCGCAACAATTTTATCATAAAGCATTAAGAGGCGACGTCTCAGCAGGGAGTTTATAGATTTGTGCATAACAAAAGTTTTTTTTTTTCTTATTTTAAATCTGTATTGGTTATGGAGAGACAGTGTAGGACCGATCAACAGTAGTTACAGAAAACTGTACATGTGAGCAGCCAGAGGAGTGATGTGCTCATAGGCGGATGGAGATGAATTCCTGACTAGATCAACAGTTTTAAAAGGAGGATATTATCTTTTTTTTTTTTCCAAAGCTTGATTCAAATTCCAGAAAACTTTAAATCATTCATCAATCACATCTTTGTTAGAAGTTCTAACGCTAAAGCCTCTATTTAAATTTCATTATATATGGGAACAATAATGGAAAGCGCATCGTTGGCTGCAGCGACAAGCGGCAAACAATGCGACTTGAGCTATAATTATCATTTTTATACAACTGTTACAGACAAATGTGCTGTTTTTGTACACAAAAATAGGAGAAAGCAAAAAAAAAAAAAACATAACGGCTAACTAGCTCCCTGAAATAAAAAAAAAGAAATAAAAGAAATAAAACTACGTTTGTAAAAAGGGAGCCATTTCCAACATTTTTTTACTTTTTTTTCTTTTTTTTCTTTTTTTTTAAGTCAAATTGTGTTTAGAATTTCACATTTTTAGAAGCTGGAATAACTTCTTCCTCCACTGCAACATGAAGCTGTGTCACAATATGCCAGAAAAAAAAAAATAATCTCAAAAATGAGCAGACATTATTAGAACTAATTAAAAACTAAGAAAAACAAACCAAAAATAAATGAATCCAATCACATTATACAGAGTTTTGCCTCTTCTGAGTATTCAATTAATTACACTTTTTTTGTTTTTTTTGTCCAAAAGAAAAGCAGTTACAAGAGAACAGGTTAGCTCACCTCCAAAGTCTTTGTCCTTCTGTAATGTACAAATACTACCCGCCTGCATGGTGCACGTGGCAAACAACACTGATAGGCTGAGAGAAACCGTGAAGACACAAAGAGAAAGAGAGGAGCAGAGGAGGAACCCTGCCGGGCCTCCCCGTATTCACATCTGCTGAGGTGAGGCTAAAATGTGATGGACAAGACAGTTAAATAATCATAACAGTCTGTTTTTATACTCTGATAGAAATAAAAATAAAAGACATAAAAGGTTCAAAACTGAGCAGCATCCCCTCTGACTCCCGTCCTTCCATCCATTCATCCAATCCGTACGCCCTGGTTGATGTCAAAGCTTGTTCTGGAGGTCATGATGAAGATGATAACGACGGAGAGAGCAGAAAATTTTATAAACAATCCAACCCAAAACATAAAAATAGAATAGAAAAATACACAGGAGTAGAAGAAAAAAAAATAATAATAAAAGAGGAAGAAGAAGAAGAAGCAGAGCTTGGGACAAACTCACACTTCCACCAGGCACTGCAGCAGATAGAGAGGAACAGTCCCAGAACCAGCTGATACTGAGCTTCTATCTCACAATGCCGCTGAGGTCTGAAACCTTAACATTCCCACATCGCTGAGAGACAGAGATAGATAGATGGTAGAAAGAACGACAAACGCAAAGGAAATCAAATAGCCAGAGGTGGCTGCTGATGTGCGGGACACCCCCCCAACGCCGCCGACCCGTCATCCAAGCAGGAAAAAGAAGTGAAAGAGAGAGAAAGGTCGGCCCTGATTCGACAGTGACGGAAAAAAATAATTGGCAAATCTACAATGACGTCGCATTTTTTTTCCTCCTGGGTCAGGAAGCAGGAAGTAGGTCACCGAGAAATGAGCAGCAAGACAACACTGCCTTCATTAGGCTGAGGCAGACAGACAGGTTGTCAGACAGATTAGACAGGCAGGTTTAAATAACACCGCTGCTCCTACTGACGCTCTTTAAGTCCTGGACTGGTAAAGTTACCAGAACTGAACCCCCACCCACCCCCCCACAGACAGCCGCACCTCCACACCTCCTTACGCTGCGAGCGGCCTGTCCTTCTATCCGTTCGTCCGAAAGTGAGACAGAGACAGCGAAAGGTCTGCCCTCCGAGGAAGAGGAGGAGGCGATGAAGACGTGAGAGGGAGCAAAGGAGCTGACGGGATGGGAGGGGGAGGGTGTCACTCAGTGAGGAGCTGCTGGAGGAGGCTCTTCTGCTGGGCCTGGCTGCTCTGCGAGCCCTGCGGCCCGGGGCCCTTCTGGGGGCCCGCAGCCCCGATGGAGCCCTGGTTCAGGTAGGAGTCGCTGCCGACAAGGTTCACAGTGCACTGGACGTCCGCGAACACCTGAACCTGCTGCACCTGCAGAGACAGAAGAATAAACCGGACTGAGTTCTGTAAAAACTGCCCCTACTGAAGGTCACCATCAAAATATTTAACTTTTAAATGTTTAGATGACTGATAAATATAAACCTCTATGACTTTTATTATTATTAATTAATGAACCAAAGTAAAGATTGTACCACAAGGAGAAATTCAAATTCCTTGTTTAAATCTGAAAAGTGTGGCATTGAGCTTTATGTATTCCACCTGAGTTAAAGCTAGAACCATGTTTCTCTGTGATTCAGTGTTTCTGGTGGAGCAACCATGGCTATCAGGCTGTAATGCTACGTTCACACCTAAAGCAGCAAAGGCAGCAGGAGCAGCTAGTTTACATGCAAAGTTAATGGTCGACGTGCATCAAGGTGCAGCAAAACATCCTGCACCGCGTTTAGAGGAGCAAGAGCGGCGCATCTGAGCAGCTGAAGCAGCGCGTCGTGAGCGTTTGAGCATCTGACGCGTGGAACAAGCTGCAAATGCAGCAGCTGTTGGACGCACCACATCAACCAATCAGAGAAGCTGATCTGGGAGCTGGCAGGGAGAGAGATACATCGCTGATGATACAGCTCACTATGGTCACTCATCTGAAACAGTTTATTAACTCCTAAATTAACTTAAAATGCTGAAATCTGCCAGCAAAACGTTCACTTTTATGATCCTGACGCCTGCAGTTTGGATTACGTACATGAAAAAAGGCCTTCCAGCTGCCGTGGCAAACCGTGAAGAGACGACCGCGCCATAGGCTTCTGTTGAATAGGCTTCCTAGTGACAGTGCACCACCGGTGCAAATAATATTTGAAGGCAGGATGGTAATCTGGATGAACTGACTGCACAGATGGAGTTTTCAGGTGGACTTTCTCGCTGAATAACATATTAAAACTACTTTATTCCCACTGATCATAGCATATATAGCCGCCATTGGCAAAGAGATGATAGGGTGGCTCCGCCCAACGTGCATCAGACCCACTTTTTCACTGTGCATCTGGAGCAGCAAAGATGCTTCAGCCGCGCGTCAGAACTAAACTTGTACAAGCATCAAAAATGAAGCAGCACGCATTTTTTTGCTGCTCTTGCTGCTTGTGGTGTGAACGTAGCATAATTGCTACCAGGTAGGAACACAGACAGACACTAGATGGCGCTAGAGCGCCTGCCCTTATTCCTCTGAACAAAAAAAAGTGTAATATTTTTATTTATTAATATTTTTCACAGCATACTGTTTTGCAGAAAC